GAGATTAATGGGAGTAATGAGGAATATATATAGTAGTTTTGGGTCAATGTAAAAAATGAGAATTGATAAATGATGATGAATGAGATGGAATTGTTTTTTTTTTTTTTTTTCTTTTTTTTGTTCGTTTTTTTTTTTTTTTTTTTTGTATTGATTGAGGACAGGTCTACTGTAATTGTATTGTTTTTGTTCTTGTGTGTTGTGGTGGTTGTGTTTGTTTGTTTGTGTGTGTGTTGTGTTAGTGTATTTGTTTGTGGTGTTTTGTGTGTTGTTTTTTGTTTCATGTTGTTATTTTTAGTTTGTTTTTGTGTTTTTTTAGTTTTTGTTGTTTGTAGTGTGTGTTGTACTGTTTTTGTTTTTTTGTTTTTTGATTTGTTATTTAGTCTTATGGTTGGTACATAAATATAAAGATGAAAGTACATGTTAGAGAGAGAGGTTGTTTATGAGTTAGAGTATGTATCTATGTATCTATGTATCCGCAGTATCATATTCAGAAAATGTAGAGATGCTGTTATGAATGAAACTATTATTAGGAATTTGTATACTATGTGAAGTTTATGTTGTAGTTATTCATTAGTATATATATTGATAAAGAGGATATATGTTTAGAATATGGATATGTAATTAGAGAAAACGAGGTGGATGGAGATAAATAAAAAGGGAAATGGAGTAAGGTAGAACGAAGAATGGAAAGTGTATATATATGGGTGTATATATTATGGTAGATAGAATGTAATGTTATAATTATTGGTATATGATATAATTGTTAAGAGTGTAGGAATTGTTATGTTATATATATGTATTATAGATATGTTATGTGTGATATGTATATTGTGTATATATATGATATAGATGTATTGGATTTGATGTATAGTTTAATGTGTATTATGTATGTAGTAATTATAATATGTATATATTCTTATATTGTTATCTATATTGTATTTGGATTGAAACTATGGAATGTGTATGTGAGATATATAGTTATGTAGTGTCTATTATTTTGTTAAAAATTATTACCACGGACATTATTCATTTAGTTTTTCCGCTTTCATCCCTCCGTCTCTTTCCCTCCTTTCTTCCCTTTTTCCACACGACACATCGGGCTGAGTGGTACGACGCATACATACACGTGTGCACCATGAACGTAGCGTACATATGTGTCTGTCACACCGGATATGACTCACAGCCAACAGTTCCGTCAAGAGCTTGTCTGACCGTCTGCCTCGCGGTCGACCGGAGTGCATCCACTGGGTGAAATTATGCACACGTTATATTTATAATTGCAACGCCATATGTAAAAAGTGTGTATATGTATGTAACAGCAGCACACAACACACACACCTACACACATATACACACACACACACACACACATGCCTCTACACACACAACACACACACACCACACACACACCACACCACCACACACACACACACACACACCACACACACACACACACACACACACCACACCCACACAACACACACACACACCACACACACCACACACACACAGCACATATATATTATATATATATTATATATAATATAATATATATGATATGGTATATATATATATATCTATATATATATATATATATATTATATGTAGAGAGACAAACATATGTAGTATATATATAATAAATAGAATATATATATAAAAAAGAATATATAATATTCATATATATACATACAGATATATAATATATATATATTATATTATCATAATATATATCATTTATATATATTAATTAAATATATAATTAGATATATAATCTACAATCTATACATCTATCTTAATCTATTAATTTTGTTCTACTCATCATCTACTATCAGATTTTTATCACATCATTATTGTTTCACCATCACAACGATTCCTCTACATCATCTACTACACAGTCTCCATCTATTAACTCTCTACACATCATCTATTCTTATTCTCTTAAATCTCGCTCATCTTATTATCTATTCTTTCTTTATCTTTATTTATTATTTTGTATTATATATATATTTTATATTTATTTTTTTGTAATATTTATTTATATTTTATTTTTATTATAATTTATTTATTTTTATTTTTTCTATTTATATTATTTTATTTTTTTTATTTATTATTTTTTATTTATTATTATTTATATTTATATATTTATAATATTAAATTATTATTGTATATGTATTTTATTTTTTACATTATTATATTTTATTATTTTTTTTTTTTTTTATTTTTTATTTTTTTTATTTGTATTATTATATATATATATATTGTTATATGTATATATACATATATATATATTTATATTATATATATATATATATATATATATATATATATAATAATAATATTGTCTGTGTCTGTCTGTCTGTCTGTATGTATGTATGTAAGTATGTATGTATATTATATAAATATATATATATATATGTATATATATATAATACATATATATAGATAGATAATATACATATATATATATATATATATATATATATATATATATAATATATAT